GTATATTTTCATTAAGATTATTTGTTGCATAATGTTCAGATGTTACTGTTCGAGCACATTTTTTCATTAGATATAAAACATTTGATGGCTTTGTAAGACTCTTTGAGCCAAATGTTGTAGTAACTGTGGATGAATGATGCTCACATTCATAATCATCAATTGTAGCTGCTTCACTACCATTGTAAAGAGAAGTTTGCATATTACTTATAAATGAACGGCAACTTAATGAACCCTTTGGAGATGGAGGTATTGGTCTAAAACGTATTTTTTCACGAAATTATTCAATTAGATTTTCATTTTGTAATATATATACATACGGTGGTTTCATTGTTTTAGGAGGTAAGCCTATATCTTTCTTAATTTTTATATCATTAACGGGTATTTTTGGAATTTGAATAGATTCAGGTTTTTGTTTTTGAACTTGACCATATTTTTCCATGCATGCTCGATCAAACGCAAATGTACGTGTAAGTGTTGTTGTTCCCATTTTTGGACCAGATCGTTGAATTTGTGTTGGATTTGATATACGTTGAGATGATAAATTCGAAAAAGTAGTTGTAGTTCGTACTGGTGTAGGAGTTGAAAGTTTATTTTCAATTGAATCAATACTTGTTGTTGACTGGCATGAAAAATTTGTAGGATGATGATGAGATAATTGTTGCTCAGCTGCAACAGTTGAATTGGTTATTGAATGATATTCATTTATTTGTCGAATTGTTTTAAGTTTTGTTGTATGTGATATTTCATCATCTGATGATGTTGATAGACATTGTTCTTTTCGTGACATATAAGATTTAGCTTTCACTCGTTTTGTAAATTTACTTAATGTTTTAGCTTTATTAAAAAGAGTTTCAGTTGATAGTTCATGAATGCTAGGTTGAGTTACTTTAGCATATTCGTTAACATGAATAAGTTGCTGTTGAAGACGTTCAACAATATATTCTTTTACTGGAATCTAATTATAAAAGGATTTAGATTTTATTGTTCTTAAATTTTTAATTTAGTTTACCTCATTTGTCATTGAAAAAGCAAATTGATCATAGCACACATTATGATTGTCAGTAATCCTTTGAGCAAAATGCAATTCTTCTATTTCTTCTTCAATTTCTTCCTCCTCCTCCTCTTCTTCTTCTTCTTCTTCTTCTTCTTCGTCTTCTTCAGCATCATCGATATCATCTGGTAATTCATTCATTGAACGAGGTCGTTGAATTTCAAGAACAACATAGCAACTTTCTGCTGATGATGATGAGGTATAACTACTTTCACTATTGTTTCGTGCAGAAGCATGAGAAATATCAATAGCATCTTCTTCTGGAATTGATTCAGCTGTTAATACATTAAGCCACGATATTCCACTAGACGAATTTTCACACCAGTCGCTTTCATATACGATTTGTTCTGCATAATGATTTGAACAATTGGCGGTAGCGAGCATATTTCTTCGATTTAATTTTTGTCTTCAATCGACCTAGTCAAACTTTATTACTCCCTTGACGATGTTGGTTTTTCTTTTTTTCTTTACCTTTCTTTTTTTTATGTGAAGAAGACGAGTAAAATGACACAGAGAAGATATA